GATCAGCGTTATATTTCCGCCCTCTACTATGGTAATGGGTTATTAAATAATACATGAATACGTAAGCACCTGTAAATATTTATGTGTCATCCTACACGCAGAACCCATCCTACATGCAAAATTTCTTGAAGATTGGTCCATAACTGTGGCCTGTATCGTGTTTACAAATTATAATGGACAGACGGACAGACGGACAGACGGACGAACTAATATTCGAACTAAATATTGCGTTGTGCAAAGTTTGGATGAAATTGGCTATTGCGTTCGTTTCATATCAGATTTATCAGATTTACAAGGTATTGGCCCTTTGTAGGGGAGATACTAGAAGGAGTGGACTAATGATTCCCATCTTCCAATATTATACATGTTTCGATAAAATATTAGATTTTTGCAGAGTTTAGTTGAAATCGGATAGTCAGTTCGCATTATATTATAAAACCAGTGAGCGGAGCAGTATAGTCGGACGGGGCCGACCATACGATACCCTACACAACTACCACGGAACTCAAATTTTTTGCGGATGTTTATTCCGAGCCTGGGCAATATTTCGTGATATTTTCCCCCTCTTACCCGATTAGAGGTAAACTGCACCTCACAGTGATATATTTTCCGAATATTTCGAGTAATCAGTACAGCTATTGTCCAGATTCCAGATTCCTTCGGCTTTCATTTGTGGTCTATAGATCGACTCGAAAATAACACAAAAAAATAAGTTTTCGGTCCACTTCATTCCAAAATTATTATCTGATCATCACCGAAAATTATAGGCGTTGTCCTTGACCATAACTGGAACCTCATGGAACATTTCAAAGCGATCAGCGCTATATTTCCGCCCTCCAGTATGGTAATGGGTTACTAAAAAATATACGTATACGGAGATACCTGTAAATATTTGGGTGTAGCTCCCACATCCGAGCACATACAACAATGTAATTGGTATTAATTTAAAGGTCAACCACTCCTCTTGGATATAAAATACGCTATAAAATACAAATTTTGTCATTTTTCACACAAAAGTCAGGGTCCATTTGACCCGCTAAATATTGACCGATCTTTATCAAAACATGCATGCTTATTCTTTGGCCCAATCCCCTTCTCCATGCAAAATTTCAAGATGTTCGAGCCATTATTGGAACGACCAGAAAAACCGACAAAAATTTAGTATTTGGTCCATTTCATCTCCTAAATATTAACCGATCTTTCCCAAAAACAATAGGGGTCCAAAACCCATCCTACATTCAAATTTTCGTGAAGATTGGTCCATAACTGCGGCCTGTATCGTGTTTACAAATTATAATGGACAGACGCACGGACGGACACACATGTCTAGATCGACTCAGCTAGTCAATATATGACGATCTGTATACTTAAAGTTGAGTCTAGGACCAATAATTCGCGGCGTTACAAACTTTTGGGGCTGCACAATGCTATAATACCCTGACAACATAGTTGTGTAGGGTATAACTAATTTTATTTTCATCAACAAGTTTGGAAGAAATTTTACGATGTGCAATGTTTGCACCTTAGCCAGCCTGACAGACCCACAGACGGACGGGCGGATATTTGTAAATGAGTCCAATTTGTCTGAAAGGGATTTGGTCCAAGCAACCATGGAGTATAAAACCTATATTTCGATGAGGCAGATTTTTGCCGTAGCAAAGTATATATACCCTCATTAGCCGTAAGGCGGAGGTTATAATAAATACATTTTTTCTTAATCTATGCATCAAAAATTATAGATGTACTCTCAAAAAGTCGAGTACTCAAATATATTTCGAAATTAAATTGCAGTTGCACTAAACAAATTAGTAATTTTGCAAAAATTTATGTAATTTTTTTAATGATATAATGATACGAAAAATCCAATATCTGTATAAAAATTAAAAAAGTCAATCCTCATCTTGGGGGGGGGGGGCTCCCAGGGATAGGATATCTTCTGTCTTATACTATGACATGGTTTTCTATTCTCATTCGATTTGACTAATGTTCTTGTAATTGGATACCCCAAAAATATCCTCAAACCCAAAAACACTTCACTTTGGCATTCCCTGACAATATGTTGTTCCATTTTCGTCTTCTACGTCACAAATTAGAGCAATGATCATTTGATGTTTTTCAAAATTCTTAATTGTCCTTTATTTTACTTTCACTGATTTTTCTAATAGGTTTTCATTATTGTCCTTGATAGTGGTCCGTGAGAATCATTTGCTTTCTCGTAACAATGGTTATTTTCATTGTCGCTCAGCATTGTTTGATCGCAAATGAATTGTTTGGTACTATTTTTTTTCTGTAACAAAATCCACTCCGTATTGCCATTGTTCTTGTTATTATTATTATTGTTGTTGTTGTCGTTATAATAAACAAACAATAACATTTTCATTATGGTCCATTTTCACATTTTGTTTATTTGCCATTGAAGCGTGGAAAGAATTCATTCATTCGTTCGTTCATGGACCACAAGAAACAGAAAGTAAAAACAAAAAAAAAACAAAAAAACAATACAAAGGAACACACCAGAATAGAATAGAACTCAGAAATAAACGAAATGCCATTATTTCGAGAGAAACGAAAAAAAAACTAATATTTTAGATATCAAATGAAATGAACACCATTAATGGGAAAATATGTTCTCAGAGAAGTGGTTTCCATAACAAGCTGCAATTAGGTGTAACGAACGATAGAACGAACGAGCCAACCAACCAATAAACCAATTTATTCATTTCCTGTTCTTTGTCAGAATATCTCGGTAGGTGTCAGGCATCAAACAGATGAAAAAAACATGGGAAATATGTGTCAGAATTCCAAGATCCATTAGTGAGGGAATTTTTCGGAGTCAGGAGTGGGTGTTTAAAAATACGTGGGAATAAAAACTAAAAAAACAGTAAGGAAAGTAGTAACGTGGGACTGGGACGACTATATGATACCCTTCACCACTTGGGGTATGTTGTAGATATGTATCCTTACAATTGCATGTCAATCTTCCCTCGAAGGGACATATTCATGTCCTTCTGCAACCTATGATAAATTTAATTTCATTCGGGCATATTTAAAGTCGTCTGCGTACCATGGGACCAACTTGTGGAAACCGATTTATAGGAAAATTGATGCACGATATTCGGTACACAATACGTAAAATCGCCTTAGTAGACCTTTGAAATGTGGCTAGAAAAAATATTTAAAAAATCTACGCCTTGGTATCAAGTCTAGAAAAAATATTTAAAAAATCTACGCCTTGGTATCAAGTCTAGAAAAAATATTTAAAAAATCTACGCCTTGGTATCAAGTCTAGAAAAAATATTTAAAAAATCTACGCCTTGGTATCAAGTCTAGAAAAAATATTTAAAAAATCTACGCCTTGGTATCAAGGCTAGAAAAAATATTTAAAAAATCTACGCCTTGGTATCAAGGCTAGAAAAAATATTTAAAAAATCTACGCCTTGGTATCAAGGCTAGAAAAAATATTTAAAAAATCTACGCCTTGGTATCAAGGCTAGAAAAAATATTTAAAAAATCTACGCCTTGGTATCAAGGCTAGAAAAAATATTTAAAAAATCTACGCCTTGGTATCAAGGCTAGAAAAAATATTTAAAAAATCTACGCCTTGGTATCAAGGCTAGAAAAAATATTTAAAAAATCTACGCCTTGGTATCAAGGCTAGAAAAAATATTTAAAAAATCTACGCCTTGGTATCAAGGCTAGAAAAAATATTTAAAAAATCTACGCCTTGGTATCAAGGCTAGAAAAAATATTTAAAAAATCTACGCCTTGGTATCAAGGCTAGAAAAAATATTTAAAAAATCTACGCCTTGGTATCAAAGCTAGAAAAAATATTTAAAAAATCTACGCCTTGGTATCAAGGCTAGAAAAAATATTTAAAAAATCTACGCCTTGGTATCAAGGCCAGAAAAAATATTTTTAAAATCTACGCCTTTGAAATGAGGCTAGAAAAAATATTTAAAAAATCTACGCCTTTGAAATGAGGCTAGAAAAAATATTTAAAAAATCTACGCCTTTGAAATGAGGCTAGAAAAAATATTTAAAAAATCTACGCCTTTGAAATGAGGCTAGAAAAAATATTTAAAAAATCTACGCCTTTGAAATGAGGCTAGAAAAAATATTTAAAAAATCTACGCCTTTGAAATGAGGCTAGAAAAAATATTTAAAAAATCTACGACTTGGTATCAAGGCTAGAAAAAATATTTAAAAAATCTACGCCTTGATACCAAGGAAGACCTTTGAAATGAGGCTAGAAAAAATATTTAAAAAATCTACGCATTGGTATCAAGGCTAGAAAAATTATTTAAAAAATCTACGCCTTGGTATCAAGGCTTGAAAAATTATTTAAAAAATCTACGCCTTAGTAGGAAGGCTAGAAGAATTATTTAAAAAATCTACGCCTTAGTAGGAAGGCTAGAAAAATTATTTAAAAAATCTACGCCTTAGTAGGCCTTTGAATTGAGGCTAGAAAAATTATTTAAAAAATCTGCGCCTTAGTAGGCCTTTGAAATGAGGCTAGAAAAATTATTTAAAAAATCTGCGCCTTAGTAGGCCTTTGAAATGAGGCTAGAAAAAATATTTAAAAAATTTACGCCTTAGTAGGCCTTTGAAATGAGGCTAGAAAAAATATTTAAAAAATCTACGCCTTAGTAGGCCTTTGAAATGAGGCTAGAAAAAATATTTAAAAAATCTACGCCTTAGTAGGCCTTTGAAATGAGGCTAGAAAAAATATTTTAAAAAAATCTACGCCTTAGTAGAAAGGCTAAAAAAAATATTGTAAACGGCTACGCCTTAGTAGAAAGACTAGAAATATTATTTAAAAAATCTTCGTCTTAGTAGGAATCGATTTGGACCATTACTTTTATTAACAATTGTGCAAATCTACTTTCAAGGATATTGTGAAAAAAAATATTTGTATGTATGTTTGTTTGTTTTTGCTGTTCAATTAACAAATGTCAACAACAACATCGTTAGAGAATAAATTGTTTTGGTAATTTGTAGACCCGTATTCATTGAGAGCGGCATTATGGATGCAATTGTTAGACCCTCCGCGTTTTGAGACATCATTAGCATTATATTTAACATTTTCTTTTCCGATGTGGTGAGGTCGTACCAGCGTACATCATTGTAGCACGAGTGAATGAATTCTTCATTCTTAAGGGGTATCGAAAAAAAGGATTTATTAAGGAAACAAAAACACACACACACAAAATAGGGAACTTACGGTAACATCCACTAAGGTGCCCATGCCACAAAAAACCTGCATCATTATAAAGCAGTAGAGTAAATAAATATAACCAGCTGGCCAGGAACCCAACATGATACAAAATAGGGCAAAGGCAATGCCTATGAAGCACGTGCCAACCTTGACAAATATACTCCAATAAACCGCATCACGGCTAACGTTAAGAAATCTGGAGATTTTGTAATTTTAATCCATCTGTTTGTGTGTGTTTTTTTTTAAACCTCCCTTAACTTACGTTAAATATGCCTGATGAAATTGTAAAATATCCTTAAGAGCAGCCAGCGTTTTTGCTTTCTTTTCCCCCTCCGTACCATAATCTTCATCCAAGAGATCATTAATTTCACGAAATTTGCACTGCAGAACACCCTTAAAGGTTGGTATTTGAGAGATCGGTGTCAGTACGGCCATATCTCCCGAAAACAAACCAAATCCACCCACAGCTATAAGCATAGTCTGTACCGAATTTGTAATCCACAGACCTTCAGTTGTGTAAATATCAATCCATGGGCAATAGCCATAGACCAATGTTTCATAGGTACCAAATATGAAATTGTAAATGACGGTGACCGAGCTCATACCCACAACCAACATTACATTAATGAAAGTACACAATTTCATAAAATTCGCCAACAGCCGTATACCTCTGTTCAGATACAGACGATAATCGGATTCCCGTTGTTCATATTTCTCATACAGAACCATACATTCCTTGAGTAGAAAACGATATTTGTCCTGCTTCGTTAGGAAAAGAATTAAAACAAAAAAACCCTAAAAATTCAATACTTTTTAAATTCAATTCCATCCGAGAAAAGTGTAAAGAGTTCTCACCTGCAGTAAGGTACCACCTTCCAGTGACACCACTTGCACCAGTATGGTCCAGTCACCTTCCTTGGTATAACCATCGTACATAGCGTAGTTGAGAAATGCAAATGATGTCCCAATAACGGCAATCACGAACAGTGTACGAATATTTATGCGATAATTGTCCTTGTAAATATTGACACCACAAACATCGGAACAAAATTCAGTAACACGTACGATTTTCCGCAGACTTTCGGATATTTTTTTCGACATGATGTTGAACGTCGAACTGTTGAGTACTGAATGTCGGATCTAAATCTAAACTGTGATAGATAGTTGCCAGCAATTATTGCAATACTCCGATATTAATTAAATTAATTACAATTAATAGTTAATACGCATTTTAAGGTGAGGGGCAGGGTGGGGTAGAAGTGTTGCAATTAAATACCTCTATCTACATGGAAGATATGAAAGTTATTGGAATGTCAATACAAACAAGAATTTATTTTGTTCAACTAAATATTACACATACATATACGCACACATACCTCCTCTATAGGATCCTTTGGAGACAAAGTGCACTTTTGCAAGTAAACAACAATTAAAATTTTTCACATAGGTCAACTATTCCGTGATTAATTGTTGTCAATAGTCAATTATATTAGAATTGTTATTTCCATTCCGTTCGGATTCTTTTATGAAAAGTAAAAGTATTTAAAACCCCGTAACAGCTACTAAGGCGTAGATTTTTTAAATAATTTGTCTAACCTTCCCACTAAGGCATAAGGCGTAGATTTTTTAAATAATTTTTCTAGCCTTCCTACTAAGGCGTAGAGTTTTCAAATAATTTTTCTAGCCTTCCTACTAAGGCGTAGATTTTTTACATTTTTCTAGCCTTCCTACTAAGGCATAAGGCGTAGATTTTTTAAATAATTTTTCTAGCCTTCCTACTACGGCATAAGGCGTAGATTTTTTAAATAATTTTTCTAGCCTTCCTACTAAGGCATAAGGCGTAGATTTTTTAAATAATTTTTCTAGCCTTCCTACTAAGGCATAAGGCGTAGATTTTTTAAATAATTTTTCTAGCCTTCCTACTAAGGCATAAGGCGTAGATTTTTTAAATAATTTTTCTAGCCTTCCTACTAAGGCGTAGATTTTTTAAATATTTTTTCTAGCCTTCCTACTAAGGCGTAGATTTTTTAAATATTTTTTCTAGCCTTCCTACTAAGGCGTAGATTTTTTAAATATTTTTTCTAGCCTTCCTACTAAGGCGTAGATTTTTTAAATATTTTTTCTAGCCTTCCTACTAAGGCGTAGATTTTTTAAATATTTTTTCTAGCCTTCCTACTAAGGCGTAGATTTTTTATATATTTTTTCTAGCCTTCCTACTGAGGCATAAGGCGTAGATTTTTTAAATATTTTTTCTAGCCTTCCTACTGAGGCATAAGGCGTAGATTTTTAAAATATTTTTTCTAGCCTTCCTACTAAGGCGTAGTTTTTTAAATATTTTTTCTAGCCTTCCTACTAAGGCGTAGATTTTTTAAATATTTTTTCTAGCCTTCCGTAGATTTTTTAAATATTTTTTCTAGCCGTACTAAGGCGTAGATTTTTTAAATATTTTTTCTAGCCTTCCTTAAGGCGTAGATTTTTTAAATATTTTTTCTAGCCTTCCCTACGTAGATTTTTTAAATATTTTTTCTAGCCTTCCTACTAAGGCGTAGATTTTTTAAATATTTTTCTAGCCTTCCTACTAAGGCGTAGATTTTTTAAATATTTTTTCTAGCCTTCCTACTAAGGCGTAGATTTTTTAAATATTTTTTCTAGCCTTCCTACTAAGGCGTAGATTTTTTAAATATTTTTTCTAGCCTTCCTACTAAGGCGTAGATTTTTTAAATATTTTTTCTAGCCTTCCTACTAAGGCGTAGATTTTTTAAATATTTTTTCTAGCCTTCCTACTAAGGCGTAGATTTTTTAAATATTTTTTCTAGCCTTCCTACTAAGGTGTAGATTTTTTAAATATTTTTTCTAGCCTTGATACCAAGCCGTAGATTTTTTAAATATTTTTTCTAGCCTTGATACCAAGGCGTAGATTTTTTAAATACTTTTTCTAGCCTTCCTACTAAGGCGTAGATTTTTTAAATATTTTTTCTAGCCTTGATACCAAGGCGTAGATTTTTTAAATATTTTTTCTAGCCTTCCTACTAAGGCGTAGATTTTTTAAATATTTTTTCTAGCCTTCCTACTAAGGCGTAGATTTTTTAAATATTTTTTCTAGCCTTCCTACTAAGGCGTAGATTTTTTAAATATTTTTTCTAGCCTTCCTACTAAGGCGTAGATTTTTTAAATATTTTTTCTAGCCTTCCTACTAAGGCGTAGATTTTTTAAATATTTTTTCTAGCCTTCCTACTAAGGCGTAGATTTTTTAAATATTTTTTCTAGCCTTCCTACTAAGGCGTAGATTTTTTAAATATTTTTTCTAGCCTTCCTACTAAGGCGTAGATTTTTTAAATATTTTTTCTAGCCTTCCTACTAAGGCGTAGATTTTTTAAATATTTTTTCTAGCCTTCCTACTAAGGCGTAGATTTTTTAAATATTTTTTCTAGCCTTCCTACTAAGGCGTAGATTTTTTAAATATTTTTTCTAGCCTTCCTACTAAGGCGTAGATTTTTTAAATATTTTTTCTAGCCTTCCTACTAAGGCGTAGATTTTTTAAATATTTTTTCTAGCCTTGATACCAAGGCGTAGATTTTTTAAATATTTTTTCTAGCCTTGATACCAAGGCGTAGATTTTTTAAATATTTTTTCTAGCCTTGATACCAAGGCGTAGATTTTTTAAATATTTTTTCTAGCCTTGATACCAAGGCGTAGATTTTTTAAATATTTTTTCTAGCCTTGATACCAAGGCGTAGATTTTTTAAATATTTTTTCTAGCCTTGATACCAAGGCGTAGATTTTTTAAATATTTTTTCTAGCCACATTTCAAAGGTCTACTGAGGCGATTTTACATAACTGGTGCACCAAAGTCCTAATTTTTGCATAGGTTGCCGAAGCACATGCATATGTCCCTTCGAGGGAAGATTGACATGCAATTGTAAGGATACATATCTACAACATACCCCTAGTGGTGAAGGGTATCATATAGTCGGCCCAGTCCCACTTTACTACTTTTCTTACTGTTTTTTTTAGTTTTTATTTCCATGTATTTTTAAACACCCACTCTTGACTCCGAAAAATTCCCTCACTAATGGATCTTGGAATTCTGACACATATTTCCCATGTTTTTTTTTCATCTGTTTGATGCCTGACACCTACAGAAATATTCTGACAAAGAACAGGAAATGAATAAATTGGTTTATTGGTTGGTTGGCTCGTTCGTTCGTTCTATCGTTCGTTACACCTAATTGCAGCTTGTTATGGAAACCACTTCTCTGAAAACATATTTTCCCATTAATGGTGTTCATTTCATTTGATATCTAAAATATTAGTTTTTTTTTCGTTTCTCTCGAAATAATGGCATTTCGTTTATTTCTGAGTTCTATTCTATTCGGGTGTGTTCCTTTGTATTGTTTTTTTTTTGTTTTACTTTCTGTTTCTTGTGGTCCATGAACGAACGAATGAATGAATTCTTTCCACGCTTCAATGGCAAATAAACAAAATGTGAAAATGGACCATAATGAAAATGTTATTGTTTGTTTATTATAACGACAACAACAACAATAATAATAACAAGAACAATGGCAATACGGAGTGTGTTTGTTACAGAAAAAAAAAATAGTACCAACCAATTCATTTGCGATCAAACAATGCTGAGCGACAATGAAAATAACCATTGTTACGAGAAAGCAAATGATTCTCACGGACCACTATCAAGGACAATAATGAAAACCTATTAGAAAAATCAGTGAAAGTAAAATAAAGGACAATTAAGAATTTTGAAAAACATCAAATGATCATTGCTCTGATTTGTGACGTAGAAGACGAAAATGGAACAACATATTGTCAGGGAATGCCAAAGTGAAGAACATTAGTCAAATCGAATGAGAATAGGAAACCATGTCATAGTATAAGGCAGAAGATATCAAATAAACCTATTGTAATACTAAATAAATATTGCCAATAGGTTATTATTTGGAGAAAATAACCATTAAGTTTTTGTCTTTTTAGTGACATCTGGTACGATTTTTCGTATCATTATATCATTAAAAACCAGTAAGGAAAGTAGTTAAGTCGGACTGGGCCGACTATATGATACCCTTCACCACTTTGGGTATATTTTACATATGTATCCGAAAAGACGTAGCTGTACTGTTTAAAATTTAATCTCAATCAGACACCCATTCAAAATTATATATGGAAGCTAAGTTATATCTATATCTGAACCGATTTAAAGCAAACCTGCCAGAGATTCATACCATAGTCAATCGAACTATGATACGGATCTTTAGTGAACAATTTGCTTAAAACCATCACATCATTCTAGTCTTAATTTAGTACGCTATGCCAATATTCATGCTAATCAAAAGATTTGCAGGGACTTTGGTGCACCATTTACCTAAAATCGGGCGAAACTATATATGGAAGCTATATATAAATATGAACCGATATTCACGAAACTTAGCACACGTCATTCTAGATCTAATTCAGTAGGCAATACCAAATTTCGTGCAAATCGAAAGATATATAGGGACTTTGGTACACCATTTACCTTAAAACGGACGAACTTACATATGGGCGCTATATCAAAATCTGAACCGATTTTCACGAAACTTAGCACATATCATTCTAGGCCTAATTCAATAGGCTATACCAAATTTCGTGCAAATCGAAAGATATATATGGTCTTTGTTACACCATTTACCTCAAATCGGGCGATACTATATATAGGAGCTATATCTAAATCTGAACCGATTTTCACGAAATTTGGCACAAGCCATTCTAGACTTAATTCAATACGGTATGCCAAAATTCGTGCAAATCAAATCATTTTCAGGGACTTTGGTGTACCATTTACCTATAATCGGACAAAGATATATATGGGAGCTATATCTAAATCTGAACCGATTTTCACGAAACTTGGCATACATCATTCTATACCTAATTCAGTAGGCTATACCAAATTTCGTGCAAATCGAAAGATATATAGGGACTTTGGTACACCATTTACCATAAATCGAAATTATATATGGGAGCTATATCTAAATCTGAACCATTTTGTTTTCAATTTCAATAGGTTTCGTCCTTGGGCCAAATAAGTGAGCTGTGCCAAATTTCAT